ACCCTAGAACTTAAAGTATAATAAAAAATAAAAAGCTAATTTAAAGCCTTTGTCTAGTTTTGTCTAGTGTCTGACATTCCTTAGGCACACTTATTGACTGCTTTTTTCCTGCTTATGGGCATACTTTCTTGCTTCTTTGCATGTCTCATAATTTCTTTGTTGGAAACATGACATTTTACATAATGTGACAACTCTGAAAATCAGATTATCTTTCTCCAGGGTTTCTTGTGGTGGCCACTGATGTCCTTGCTCAGTTTGGTTAGTAGTCAACTGATAATTAAACAGAGATTTCCTTAAGTGCCTAGGACCAATAAGTCATCTCCCAGTCTTTGAGAAGGGGCTCTGTGTGTGTGCTGAGGCATCCCATCAACAGTTAGCAGGCAATTGACAACTCTACCTTAGTCTTCATATCCAGCTCTAGCAGTGCTTCAAGGTTAGCTAGAAGTGAGAGCTTAGGGACTTTTCAGGTATTTCCCGAGTACATATACAGTCCTGGTCATATGTATAGTTCTGTATATGTATATGGTCTTACAGATTTTCAGAAATACTTTGGAGCTTTTCAAAGCCCCCTACAGATATCTCATTCCTGAGCTTTTCTTTTTAAGCTTTTTAATGAGTTTATTATTTACCCCAGTTGTTTGTCCATCTCAGGTAGTTGCAATGCTAAACAACTGCCTCTTGTTTTCAACCAATGACCCTGAGGAAAGGCCGTTCACACTGCATGAACTCTGAGTATATCAAATAAAGACAGCCTTGTAAATGAGGTCTTCCAGGAAATTACCAAATAGTTCAAATAATGACAATTCTGTGAGGCTTTAAAGGGACTCAGACACCTCTCTGCTCTTTCCAGTAGCTGCCAGTTTTTGATGTGGTGATGAAGGTCTGAAATTCTCTCTGGAACCTCCCAGGTTGTTTTTTAAACTTGATGGTTTGCAACTGGACTTATGGGTCTGAAAAACTTGGCTTGATTACTTAAAGGACTAGTAATTTCACCTTTTGATACTGCCTTTGCAAAAATTCTAACAGTGGGAAAATTATGACAGTGAAAGAGATCTGACCTAACCAACTCCATCTTGCTTCTAACCTCCAGTCTGTCCCTGTTTATTCCTGAGCATAGGCTAAACTAGCTTTGAGAGAAACTTAGTTTATAGGTTAACTTTGAAACAAAGATAATAATAACTTCCTCATGAAATAAACCTCCTTCTTACCTACAGACCACACTGTCTTTGTAAGACTAATCAATTAGCCATAATATAAGAAATTATTGTTTCAGGAGTCATGCAGCTAGAGGCCATAAGATTCTGAACCTCCCCAGTTGCTCCTAGGCATAACATCACTATTGCAAAACCTAAAATTGGTGCTTGAGATGTTTTTTGGACTCTAAGTTCTGAGATACTAGCTGGTGCCACCCAGACTGGTAATTTGGCCTACCCAGTTTTGCAATCCTACCCAGGAAAAGAAGACAGCAAGAAGAAGCCACTTTCAGCCCCTATGACTTCATCTCTGATCCGATCAATCGGCACTCCCTACTCCCTGATCCCTACCAAATTCTCCTTAAAAGCCCTGGTCTCCAAATGTTCAAGGTGACTGATTAGAGTAATAAAACTCTAGTCTCCCATTTAGCTGTTTGTCTGTGAATTAAATTCTTTCTCTACAGCAATTCTCCTGTCTTGATACATTAGCTCTATCTGGGCAGCGGGCAAGGAGAACCCATTGGGCCATTTCACTATAAGGTCTTTCTAGAAAAGATTCCTCTCACAGAGATTGGTAGCTCAAGTTGGTAACACAGCATGGCCATTTGTGCAAATAAGGGCTCTTCTTTCTTTGCACATTGGATGTCTCTCTAACCTCCGGTACTTGCCTGTACTCTCTTTCTCTTGCTATACCGTATCCTTTGCCTTTAAATAAACACCTATATGAATATACTCTGTGGAGTCTGGTGAATCCATGCAAATAACCAAACTGGGGAAATCTTTGCAATGGTATGTCTGTACAATATAATACTATACAGCTGCAGAAAAGTATGTGAAATGTATCTGTGGACTGATATGAAAAGATATCTAGAATATATTGTTAAATGAAAATGCAGGTGAGGAACTACAATATAGTATACTGTTTTTCTTGTAAGAAAGAGAGAAATACAAGGGCATATAATTCTATTCTCTTGATTTGCATGAGGAAACACTGGAAGTTTACACCAAAAAATACTATTAAAAATGATTAACTATGGAAGTGGTGGAAGCAAGATATCTTAATGTATAAATTTTCATATTGAAGATACTTGCACACACATGTTTATAGCAGCACAATTCACAGTTGCAAAATCATGGAAGCAACCCAAATGCCCATCAATCAATGAGCGGATAAAGAAACTGTAGTGTAGATATACAATGGAATACTACTCAGTCATAAAAAGGAATGAATTAACAGCATTTGGAATGACCTGGATGAGACTGGAGACTATTATTCTAAGTAACTCAGGAATGGAAAGAGACTATTATTCTAAGTGAAGTAATTCAGGAATGGAAAACCAAACATTGTATGTTCCAACTGATATGTGGGAGCTAAGTTATGAGGATGCAAAGGCATAAGAATGATATAATGGACTCTGGAAACTTGCAGGAAAGAGTGGGAGGGAGTGAAGGATAAAAGACAACAAATATGGTGCAGTGTATACCACCTGAGTGATAGGTGCACCAGGATCTCACAAATCACCACCAAAGAACTACTCATGTAACCAAATACCACCTGTATCCCCAATAACTTATGGAAAAATAATAATTAAAAAGTAAAAAAATTTCATATTGTTTTGATTTTTGAAACTTATATTACCCACTCAAAAAATTAAAATTTCAGAGTAAACAAAAAAGAAAAATCAAGTTATGTGGTCTAAGAGATATAATAAAATATTATAGGGTTTCATAATAAGTACCAAGAAATAAAGATGGCAAAATAATAGACATGCCAAAGTATAAACATAAACAACAAAAGTAAACAGCAGCACAAGATACAAAGCTGAAGTTTTACCCGGGTAGCATGTAAAAGGATTATTGCTTTAGTTCAGGATTTCTGAACAGCAGCACTAATGACATTTTGGGCAGGATACTTCTTTGTTGTGGCAGGCTGTCCAGTGCATTATTAGAGGACAGCTAGCCTCTACCCACTAAATACCAGTAGCACTTCCTGCCCTGAGTTGTGACAACCAAAAATATCTCCAAACATTGTCAAATGAGGTGCTGAGAGTGGCAAGGGCACAAAAATTATGCCCAGTTGAGAATCACCGTTTTCATTGCTCTGAATAAGCAGATTTTCTGAGCAGCTCTAGAAAATGTTTTCCTAGCAACTGGTCTATATTCCCGAACCACTTTTTCATTGAGATGTCAAATATTTCATATAATACTTTTCCAGTTCTTTATTATTATAATCTTGACTCAACCAGTATGTTATTTTGCAACGTCTTTGGAGTGACATGATTTATCAGAAATATTTTCCCTTTAATAAGATACTTGAACTGCTGAATCATTTGGTGTGACTATTACTTTGAAACTTTTTGTGTGGAAGCCAATCTCTATTTCTTTAATCATATTAGAAAAATAGAATTAAATGTTAATGTCCATATACAATTAATGTACTTAATTGAAGGGAATACCTTTAATATGTTTGAAATAATAGTGTTACTGACTACCTTTCTTTTTTATCTTTCCTTGAGTGTCTGGAAATCCTTCGAAATCCTTCAAGAAATTGTCCACGGGTTGTTAAGGCCAGTAATTAGTTAATTAGTGCCACAGCTGTCACAATCCCAATCTGAACATGATCTAAACTGAGATGCCCCTGCCAGTGCAGTAGCTCACAATTCTGGCAGCACAACTTGTGGTAGGTATATAGAAATAGATGGAGCTTCTCCCTCAGCTGTATTCATGATCTTCTGAGAGTGATGCATGTGGTCATAATTATTTTTAAATATAATCCTTAAGTTTCTGAAGAAAGCAAATCCAAAAAAATAAGTCATATGGTCTTAATGTGGACTGGTCCACAGATTATAACACAACTATCTGCGTGAGCTTGATGCCAAATCTTCTTCCACTTCCCTGTCTTATTCCAGAGGGTGATGGTGGTGGTGTTCATGTGATTCACTTCAGTTGAAGGAACAAGAAAGCACGCATTTCCCAGGAGAATCACCATGGTCTACCCCATCTCCGAACCCAGGCGAAAGGGTTTCCTCATTGAAAATGAGATACAGTCAAAGCAGTAGTAAAGTGAACACCGTTTTATAGCTGCTATGGAAAAAATTATTGTATTTTCGCTGTAACACACACACACACACACACACACACACACACTGCAGTCTCAAGACAGGATAGTTTAAAATCTTCAGCTTGCAGTGGGATCTAACTACCTTCCCTTCCGTCCCCAGTGCCTCCTGATGTTTGCAATCTCATTTCCAATTCACCAGCGTGCATGAACGCAGACTCCAGATCCAGCGCAGAGCCAAGAATTCGCTCAGGGGCACCAGCTAAATAGCAAACATATGCCATGTCAAACATGTGAAAGCTTCAGCGACTAGGGTACTGCCGGAAAAACCAGTTCCAGCCCAGGAATTTCTAGGTGGAAACACTGACCGCCAAGTTGTTTTATTCTCTTTGCTTGATTCAGGCCGGTTTTGAAAGCAGGTGTCCCCTCTACCCCAGCTTCAGGAAGGGAAATCCCGGCCCCCGGCAGCTGCAGAGCTAAGAAAAACCATCCCGCCACCCCTTCCTGTGGTAACGTGGTCCTAACCCTGCTCTGCCCCACAACCCCACTTCACCCGGAGACGCAGACGCCAGGCTACCTAGCACTTAGTCGCCTCTTCCTCCAGCCTGGTTTTATAAGCTCTGGAAACCAGGACGTTGTTTCCATCTTCGCCTTCGCTGCCTGGGCCGCATGCCTCCCGGGCTTATTTAGGAAGCGACGTTAGGGCTACACTTTTGGCTCCAGAAATTTGTTCAGACGGCGCAGCCGACGCCCTGCAGGGTCATTTCCGAACGCATTCCCAAATATCCTGGTCCTCTAGCCCTTACCACCCCCTAGCACACGAAATCCCGCCTGGCGGTGAAGCAGGTGTGTTGCTGGTGGCTCGTCGCTGGCTTGGAGATAGAGGTGCTCCGTACCTGTACCCTTTCTGACACCACCTGAAACCGTACCGGGGCACATCCCTCATCCAAATATCCACTTTTAAGGTGTACGAATTCGAGTTTGGCCTGAACGCCCCCTCCCCGTGCCGACCCTGGAGGCATCTTCCGTGGGGTCTTTCTCTTCGAACCCAAAGGGGTAAGCTCCTGGGTGCGCCAGGTCCGCCTCTTCCCTGGCGCTGGCAGGGGGCGGGAGTGGATAGGCTGGGACCCGTGTCTGATTAGCTGGGAGGGGGAAGCCATGGTCCCAACCGCTGTCTGCTGCGTTCCAGTCCGTCCAGGCTCTTCCAGGAGGAAGAGGCACGTTACAAGAGAGGAGGGGCAGGGGTCCCAGCACTGAATACCCTGGCCGGGGTTTTGACAGCTGCCACAGTCTCTGAGCTCCTGCCTCGCGCCCGAAGCCGGTCCCTGCCATGGGGCCCCCTTCCAACTCAGGCTTCTATGTGAGCCGCGCGGTGGCTCTGCTGCTGGCGGGGCTGGTAGCCGCCCTCCTGCTGGCGCTGGCCGTACTCGCCGCCTTGTACGGCCACTGCGAGCGCGTCCCACCTTCGGGGCTGCCTGGACTCGGGGACTCGGAAGCCGAGTCCTCCCCTCCACTCAGGCAGAAGCCGACGCGGACCCCGAAACCCAGCAGTGCACGCGAGCTAGCGGTGACGACCACCCCGAGCGACTGGCGACCCCCGGGGCCCTGGGACCAGTTACGCCTGCCGCCCTGGCTCGTGCCGCTGCACTACGACCTGGAGCTGTGGCCGCAGCTGAGGCCCGACCACCTTCCGGCCGGGTCTTTGCTCTTCACTGGCCGCGTGAACATCACGGTGCGCTGCACGGTGGCCACCTCTCGCCTGCTGCTGCATAGCCTGTTACAGGACTGCGAGCGCGCCGAGGTGCGGGGCCCCCTGTCCCCGGGCACTGGGAACGCCACAGTGGGCCGCGTGCCCGTGGACGACGTGTGGTTCGCGGTGGACACGGAATACATGGTGCTGGAGCTCAGTGAGCCCCTGAAACCTGGTAGCAGCTACGAGCTGCAGCTCAGCTTCTCCGGCCTGGTGTATGAAGACCTCAAGGAAGGACTCTTCCTCAACGTCTACACCGACCAGGGCGAGCGCAGGTAAGGGCTGTACAGCCCGTGGCCCCTTTCGGCCCCCGCCCCTGCGTCCCGGTGCAGGCTACGGGTCCAGCTGACTACCATGTCCAGGTGCGCGTCTGCTGCCTTTTCCAAAGAATCCCCTTGCGACGTTTTATTTATTTATTTATTTATTTATTTATTTATTTATTATTATACTTTAAGTTCCAGGGTATATGTGCACAACGTGCCGGTTTGTTACATATGTATACATGTGCCATGTTGGTGTGCTGCACCCATTAACTCGTCGTTTACATTGGGTATATCTCCTAATGCAAACTCTCACAAGGACAAAAAACCAAACACCTCATGTTCTCACTCATAGGTGGGAACTGAACAATGAGAACACTTGGACACAGGAAGGGGAACATCAGACACCGCGACGTTTTCTTTCAAAGCCAAACAGAGGGCGAGCGCCTCCTTTCTCCCTTTTCCTAAAACCTTACTCCGAATAAAGAGACGGCGGAGACCGCGGTCCTTCCTCTGGCCAGTTTTCAATCCTGTATCTGCTCATCCAGTTTGCTTCTATTGCTGCCCCTTTTTAGGTCGCTGGTACCCCAGAAGCTTATCGTTTTCTTCAGAAAGCACCTTTCCTCTCTAGCAGGAAATTTCTTCACCCCATTCAACAAACCCCTTGCCCCTCAAATGTTGGTCCTTGGACCAGCAGCAGCGGTAAGGGAGCTTGTTAGAAATGCAGACATGTGTTCTTTTTACACTCATTTGAGATAATATCTCCTACACGGGAAGTTTCCTGCCCCTGCACAAGAAGAATTGTCTCTTTCCACGCTCTGAGACCACAATACTGTCCTCCGGCGAACGCCGGGGAAATAGCTTAAGTGGGAGATATCAAAATTTATTTTTTTTTCCAACCGGCGATCTCTTTGTCCACTCACACACTGGTGGAGCATTTGCGCCGAACACAACTGCATGTACTTTGCCCTTTATTATTAGAGAAAATGTTCTCAGATGTTTTCTGAGGGAAAGAATCCCACTAAATTACACCCTACACCATCTCCTGCACTACTTTCAAAATTTCAAAGGTTTTTAAAATAAATTTAAAGAGTTGCTCTCGTAGATGTACAATCTATAAAGTACAATCTATAACTTTTGTTTTTAAGGGCAGTGTGCTTGGTTTTTCTTTTAAACAATACATCAATGCTTGAAAACCTACTTTTGAAATTTTCTTATTCAGATGATGTGTTACTCAACTTGTGAAGGAATCTTTTGAAATTACTGTGTAGGTCAGGGTGCAAAGTATTTCAGAGGAAAAAATAGAAACACTTTACCTACATATCTGACTTTTTTTTTTTCTTGCTGTAGGTCGGTAAATCCTCCTCTGTTCACCTACCTCTTCCTTGGTCCTGTTTCAGTGGGACTATGGCCCAGACAAGCTTGCAAAAATGGGAAAGGAAAGTCCCATTCAATTTTTCTATTGTGTTGCTAACTCTAGTGTTAACTAGAAACCATATTTTCAGAACATTAAAATTCAAGCAAGAAGAAATCTTAATAAAGTTCTACAGATGTTCATAAACCAAGGTTAGTCTCCAAAACTGTGATGTTTTGGAAGAGTTGTTACTCTCTGGGTCTCTGCTTCTGAAACCACAAGGAAAAGACAACTAAGGTTAAGCTTGAAGCCAGAGTCATGAAGAACCTGCAACAGAAGGATGGCTTGTGGTACGCCAGATTCTGGGAGCCCAGCAGGCCTAAGTTTGAACCTGAGCTGTGTCAATTGAGCTAGTCTCTTAACCTCTCTAAGTCTGTTTCCTCATTCACAGAATAGATACAATAATTGTCAACTATTAGAGTACTGTGAGAATTAAATGAAAAAGGGAGTACACAGTGACACATACAGCCTGGGTAGTGGTAACTGCTATCCTTAGGTCAGATTATCATTATGATCAGCTTCTTTGCTATCTAAACACAGAACCTGCCAAGTTCCTGGTATATATGAGTCTAAGAAGATTCCCAGAGGAGAAGGCAAAGCTGGGGAGTGGGGAGTTATTGCTTAGTGGGTATAGATTGTAGTTTTGTAAGATGATAAGAGTTCTGGAGATAGATTGACAACAGTGTGAATGTTCTTAACACTACTGAACTTATACACTTAAAAATGGTTAAAGTAGTAAACTTTATGTTATGTGTATTTTACTAGAATGAAAAGTTTTTAACAAGCAAAAATAAATTATAGATCAGTGAGTTTAGAATGGGGTTTAGAAATTTATATGTTTTGACAATTGTCTCAGTTAATTCTGATGCCTACTATAGGCACCTGATATGGTTTTGTTGTGTCCCCACCCAAATCTCATCTTGAATTGTAGTTCCCATAACCCGGTGGGAGGTAATTGGAAAAAGGGGGTGGTTTCCTCCATGCGGTTCTCCTGATAGTGAATGAGTCTCATGAGATCTGATGGTTTTATAAGAATCTGACATTTCCCCTGCTTGCACTCACTCTGTCTTGCTGCCCTGTGAAGAAAGTGCCTTTCTTCCCCTTTCTTCCCCTTTCTTCCCCTTCATCTCCTGCCATGACTATAAGTTTCCCAAGGCCTTCCCAGCCATGCAGAACTGTGAGTCAATTAAACCCCTTTTCTTTATAAATTACCCAGTCTTGGGTATTTCTTCATAGCAGCATGAATACAGACTAACACGGTATCTCATCCTTTTTTCTAACTTTGTATTTTGAAATAATTATAGATTCACCAGAAGTTGCAAAGATAACATAGAGAGGTCCTAGGTGCACTTCATCTAGTTTATCTTACATAATTATAGTATAATATCAAAAGCAAGAATTTGACATTGGTACTATGCATATATATGTTTTTATGTCATTCATCATATGCATATATTTGTGCAAAAACTACCATAATAAAGATACAGAACTGTTCCACCTTAAAGATCATTCCCATACTTCTTTATATGCACTCATGCCACTCCCTAATCATCTCTAACTCCTGACAACCACTAATCTGTTCTCCATCTTTGTAATTTTGTCATTTTGAGAATGTTCTATAAATGAAATTATATAGCATGTGACTTTTAGAGACTGGTTTTTCTAACTCAGCATAATGCCCTTGCGATCCATCCAAGTATGCATCAATAGTTTGAGTCTTTTCATTGCTAAGTACTATTCCATAGTATGGATGTATGAAAGTTTATTTAGTCATTCATCTATTGAGCGGTATTTTGGTTGTTTCCAGTTTTTGGTTTTATAAACAAATCTTTTATGAATAATTGTGTCCAGGTTTTTCTCTCTAAGAGGCAGGATCCCTCTATGTTGCCCAGGCTAGCCTCAAACTTCTGGCCCCAAGGGATCCTATCTATCTTTGCCTCCCAAAGCACTTGTACAGGTTTTTGTATGAACACAGTGTTCATTTCATTGGGACAAATGTTCACAATTATCATTGCTGGGTCATGAGGTAGTTGCATGTTTAGTTCTTAAGAAACTGCCAAATTGTTTTTCAAAGTGGCTATACCATTTTATACTCCTACCAGCAATATATAAGTGATAGAGGTCCTCTGTATCATGGCCATCATTTGGTTTTGTCATTATATTTTAGCTGTCCTGATAGGTGTATGGTAATATCTCATTGTGGTTTTAATTTGCATGTTTCCAATGACTAATGATGTTAAACGTCTTTTTGTGTGCTTATTTGCCATCTGTGTATCAGTCAGTGAAATGTCTTTTCATGCCTTTTCCTATTTTCTGATAGATTTTATTTTTTACTGTTGAATTCTGGAAGTTCTCTATATATTCTAGATCTAAGTCCTTTGTGAGTTATATATCATTTGCAAATACGTTCTCCCAGCCTATAGCTTGTCTTTTCATCATCTTAATAAGGTCTTTCAGAGAATAAAAGTTTTAAATAAAAGTTTCAATTTAATTTTGATGAAGTCCAAATTGTCTATTTTTTGTTTGTTTGTTTTTCCCATATACTTGTTTTTTTATTAATTATACTTTATGTTCTAGGGTACATGTGCACAATGTGCAGGTTTGTTACATATGTATACATGTGCCATGTTGGTGTGCTGCACCCATTAACTTGTCATTTACATTAGGTATATCTCCTAATGCTATCCCTCCCCCCTCTCCCCACCCCAGGACAGGCCTTGGGGTGTGATATTCCCCTTCCTGTGTCCAAGTGTTCTTATTGTTCAATTCCCACCTATGAGTGAGAACATGCAGTGTTTGGTTTACTGTTCTTGCAATAGTTTGCTGAGAATGATGGTTTCCAGCTGCATCCATGTCCCTACAAAGGACATGAACTCATCCTTTTTATGGCTGCATAGTATACCGTGGTGTATATGTGCCACATTTTCTTAATCCAGTCTGTCACTGATGGACATTTGCATTGGTCCAAGTCTTTGCTATTGTGAATAGTGCCACAGTAAGCACTATTGTGCATGTGTCTTTATAGCAGCATGATTTGTAATCCTTTGGGTATATACCCAGTAATGGGATTGCTGGGTCAAATGGTATTTCTAGTTCTAGATCCTTGAGGAATCACCACACTGTCTTCCACAATGGTTGAACTAGTTTACAGTCCCAAAAACAGT